GCCCGTGCTTCGGGCGCGCCTCGATGAAGGATCAAGGGTCAAGGAGGAAGAGTCGCATCTGCACCGATGTCCCAAATCGGAGATAAACTACCTGAGCATCTCGCGGGCACTGCGGAGCCTGCGTTTAACTACCACGGGGCCTTATATAGCTTCGACAGCGCTGGGCCTTGCGCCGCTTTCTGCGCGCGCGCAGCGCAGACAGCGGTACCACGGCGCGGTCGCGCTACAAACCATACCTGCGAGAATTGCCTCAAAGTAGAACCCGCTGCTTCATAGCTTTCAGCATATAGCATATCCTGCCGGGGACGGGCGCTCAGGTCAAGTGCCGTCGAAAGTACATGAGAGAGGCAGTCGGAGCCACTCCCCGTTCCTGCTGCATTTCGCCGGCGCGGCAGGCGATTGACCAGTCCTTCAAATCCGCGGGAGCGGCCGCCTCTCGAGCTCGCTCAAATGCCGAATGGCGGCGAAGATGCACTGCATTTCTTCGTCATTGCCGTCCACGCCACCTCCCGCTTGCGACGTCACCGGCGCCCCTCCTGCGCGCAGACGAAGATCCGCGCGCGCGGCCCGCCCCCGCCTCCTCGACCTGCTTCTCGCAGTTGGTCGTCGCCGTCTTGATCGTCCTAAAGGCAGGGTGGCACGCTGGGCCTTTGCGGCGGCTGTCGCTGGCCGCCCCCCCCCCCCCCCCCCTCACCCTGGACTCGAGCTGCAGCGGCAACTTGGCGCGCCGACCAGGTCCGCGGCCACCGCCCTCGGCCGTCTCGGATGGCCGCGGATTCTCGCCGGCCCCCGCCTGCACTGAACTGGGCCACTCAAGAGCGACGGCGTCATTCGCGATAGACGGCAATATACGCGTCGCAGCTAGCAGCTGGCATGCAAAAGGATGACTCTGAGCAGCGGGCACTGCGCTGCAGCGTGGCCCTCCGTTCGGGGCCACGAGAAATCCGAGACACAGTCTGCGCAAAACTGACGCTGCAAGGCTCCGCTGGGCGGCAACAATCTGAGAAGTGACTGTCACGCACTGCGCAGTAGGTAGGAAGCGCAGCGACGCGAGGAACCCCACCAGCGGAACACACGCATAAGAATGCGCTCCGAATCCCCACGCCCTCGCACAAACTCTCGGGCGGCCCCCCTTGCAAGCCGGGCGCGAACCAGGCTCCTGAGATCCATGTCGTCGCGGAGGGGCGGGCGCGACACCCCCGGCGCCGCCCCGGCCCGCGGGGGGGGCGGGGGGCGTCGCGCAAGCTCGCGAGATCTCAACTCCGCCACGTCGCCGCTGCAAGACAATCTCTCGCATCGCCCTGGGATAAGCACAGAGAACGCCCCGGAATAACTCGAGCGGCCCGGGGCCGTCCGAGGCCCCCTTTGAAAACCTGAATGTCCTGCCAGAAATGCTCCAGCCAAGGGGCGACCGCGGGCAGAACCTGCCCATGCCCGCCGATATCCAGCCCTTGCTTTCCACATCTCGCCCGGCCGACAAGCGCTGCAATCGCCTGCCCATGACCCCTCTGGTGCACAACCATGACGGCAGTCAACTCAGCCTCCGAATGCGCAGCTCCGTGAACGACGTTCCGCACCGGAGGCGTCTCCTCACCGCCGGATTCGACGGCGCCCTGATCCCATCGCCCCGTTAGGCTGCGCACCGCCCTCGCAGCACTACTCCGGCGCACGCGCAGACGACCCGCTGGACAGGGCCCCCACGATCTCCGCGCGGCGGGGCCACTCGCGCCGGGCGCGAAAGCCTCGAGCACCGAGAGCGCCGCGTTAAGCATGGGCCCCGAGGAAACAACCCCTTCGAGCCTCTTGGAGATCTTTGGGGGCGACCCAGAACTTGCCCATCCTGAACTTCTTCCGCCGCCGCAGCGCTGACGCGCCCAGCACGCCCAGCCTCCGAGAGGGATACTTGTTTCATGAACACTTGTGTTGAGCACTCCCGAGGTTGACTATGTTCATGTGCTTGTCCGCGTTCTGGGCTCCCCCGAAATCATGAAAGACCACGTCGGCGACGACGTTCCCCCAGTCCGCGACATCGGACACGCGCCGGGCGTCTGCGCCCACGATCTCGCGGGCGATGCCATCTACGAAGACAAACGCGGCCAGGCTCGCGACGGAACAATCGCGCGCTGCTCGCAGAGGGAATTGCACTCGCACGCGCAGAGCCCGTCGCCGCGAATGCGCGTTCCCAGCGCCGACCACGCCCCGAACTCCTCCGCCGCATGCCTTGGCGACGAGCTCGGTTGCACCCCGATCGCCCAGCGGTGCGCCACTCTGGTTTGCCGGGGCCCACTGCATACGCCGTCGTCAATCGCGAACGCGCTGTTCTGGATACGTTGGTAGAACGCGTCTTCGCGTTGATCTCGCGCCGGCTGTTCAGATGCGTCTTCAGCATGCGATTACGGAGTACTATGCACTGCTGGCATGCAACCCGGCGAGGCGATGCGCCGCCGCGAAGCGCAGTCGCGCAGATCCACGAAGTCGCATCAATATTGCGCCCTCCCCTCTGCGCCTCGAAATTCGCCCATGAGTCCAAGATGGTCAAGTAGCTCGTGGGCCCCCATATCGTTCTGTCGCATGGTCTGGCCAATCCACACAAAAACATGATAGGTCGCCCCCCTGCCGCGTTGGCTTCGCCGTGCTCTGGCAGTCTGCAGCAGCGCGCCTGATGTCAGACAGCCGGCGCTCGTCCAACCTGCCTGGCGACTCGGCCAAGTAAGCACATGCATCTGTCAACGTGGGCGCCCTGGGCTCATTTTGGTCTTGGGCGACATATTCGTCATCATCGACATCTGGCGCCGGCAGTCCCGGGGGCGGCAGTGAGCCCTCCGGGCCCTCAGGCTGAAGCGGCTCGGCTTCGCGGCCGAACCCACGCGGCACTGGGCCGTCGTTCCCCGCGCCGCGCCCAGAGAGCGCACAGGCAACCTCCAGATCACCACCCCGCCCAGCACAGCCCCCGGGGACGGGCGAACCTGGCCTGCGGAGCCCCCTTCTTCGCGGTCAACTGCAGCGCCAGGTGGGATCAGATAGCAAACGCATAAGGCCACCTACAACACTCCACGCCGGCGAGCGACGCCCGCCGCGACGGCAATTTCTCGAGCGCGTTCTCCAGCGCGGCCATGTCCATCAGCGCATGCCTCCGCGCAGATTGGCAGTCAGTCGTGACATCCTCGTTCGGGATGAGCCACTCCAGCCGTGACTGAAGATGGCGCGCTCTATGCCCCCGGCGCCCATCATTGAAAGGGCATCTCCAGAATCCAGTTGATATCTGAGGTGCATGACACGGATGAAGTACTCGCGCACGCGCGCCACCCTTGGTGCCATTCTTCTGGAATTGACAGATCTTCTCCACTGCCGATGCCCGCGAAATTGTCGTGCACGCGTAGCGTCGCCCTCTGGGGCCTCGGCAAGTACCTGCCCGCAGCCTGGCAACGCGGCACGCGTCTTTAGATTTGCGCCCCCGCCGCGCCTCCCAGGGCGCCGCAACCCGCTCTGCCATTCTTCGGTCTCTCAGGTCGCGTTCCTTGGCCTTGAGCTTGCGGCTGACTCGGACAGCCTGTGTAGGTTGAATTCATCGCCACGCGTTTCCCTTTCTTTGGCGTCACGTCGCTGCTGGAGTAGAGCCCCCAGCTCTTGGCCCATGTTGAACGCATCCTTCGCGCGCTCGCCGCATCCTGGCACCTTGGTGAGGGGCTGGGAGGATAGGTCGCTGATGCACTGCATGATGCTTGCGTTGATTTGATCTAGACGGTCTACATTCTCTTCGTGCCCCCACTGCCCGAATTCATTCGCGTACTCGGCGAGCCGTGCCTCTACTGCCTGGACCAAATGCTCGCGAACGTGTCCGCGAGGAGCATGGCACTGCGAGCTCCCACGTCGGGTTTCATGGGATGCTGCTTGGCCAGGTGGACATGTTCATATAACAGATAAGAGGAAACTGTGAGCGGGTAGTGACCCTGGGGCGCCACACATTGCATCGGTTGAAACCTATTGCCCCTCCTCCACGACACCATGCAATCTTGTATGTTGCCAAGAATGCGGACCGTCTGGATAATAATGTACCCCTGTCGACGCAGCACCCGGTGGCCGAATCAACCATATGTGGGCCCTGCATCGAAGTACGCACCCGTGTACCTTCACAACAGGTTTGAATGCACCGAAAGTGTTTCCATCCTTGTTACGCTCGTTAGGTCCAGAAATGTATGGCGCATCTGGCACACCATCGCCACAGGCACTGTTGAGATCTACTCCTAGCATAAATATACATTTCGGGAAGAATATGGAAAGTTGTTCGTTGAGCCGATGGTAATTACGCGCTCCTGTTCTTATGTGTTACGCATTGGGAGTAGAGCGAAGAAGCTGCAATATCCTGCGGCCCCTTCTGCGCTATCTGAGCATGAGGCCGCGCCCCTTTGTGACGACCACTGAAGCGATACGGATGCTGCACTGCGGGCGACAAAGACAAGGATGAACCCCGATGGATACACAACAGGACGGGCCGCTGCTGCTCCCACATCATTCATTCAAGAAAAGAGTGCTCAGCCGTGGCCATCTTGTATGGTCCATCTCCTCTGAGCGCACGAAAACCCGTGCCTTGTGGGAAGATCACGCCATGGTGCGCGCACTCTGCGGAAATGTCGCCGAATATGCATGGCGCCCTGGCTGTGAACGGGTTGAACGAGACCGCCCGCAGGAGTCGCCAACCGCCGCCGCCGCCGCTCCCGCTCATGGAGCCCGCCGCCATCGCTAGACATAAAAGTGAAAGGAGCAGCGGGGATCTGGAAAGTGGGCCCTGCAGTCGCGGGGGTGTCCCCCTGGGCCGTGGTGCGACTGAGGAGGAGGTGGAGGAGGTGGAGGAGGAGGAAGAGGAGGACCGATCCCCAAACGATCCCCAAGCGATCCAGTGCGACCGCATTGGAGCGTCAAAGAAAAAAAGTCGAGCATCCTCCTCTTCCCCAGGCCTCCCCGCACTGCGACCAAACATGAAGGATTCACGGACCTGGTAAAGAAGTGGAGCCAACATTTCTTCTGAAGCGCGTACGACCCTTTCCGTTTGCTTGTCTGCAGCCGCTACCGCCTGCACGTCTTGCGTATCCTCCTTCTCTTCATGGTGCTGCTGCTCCTCCTGCTCCTCCTGCTCCTCCTGCTCTTCCTGTTCCTCCTCCTGCTCCTGCTCCTGCTCCTGTTCCTGCTCCTGCTCCTGCTCCTGCTCAGGCCTGCCACTTGTCAGGCGCATGTTGGCTCCCGCCCCTCCGCGCACGCGCACGCATTTGCACGCGCCAACAACTATCAACCGCAAGAGTGGGTTCCTCGCCTGCGGCCCCGTCTCGTCCCGAAGCGCGTGGAAACACACATGCCCCGCGAGCACGCGCCAGGAGCATGTTGCCCCCCACCCCTCCGCACACGCGCTTGTACGTGCAACGAATGTTCCACCACCAAATTGGGCCCCCCTGGGGCCCCGTGGACACGTGCAAACACGTGCCCCGCACGCACGCACCAGGGGCAGATTGGGCCCCACCCCTCCCCGCACGCATGGCTCGCGGGAGAGGAGCTCTGCACCCCCAAGGTATGGCCCCTGGCCTGCGGCCCCGCGCGGACGCGCGAACACACACATGACAACACGCGCCGCCTCGCGTGGCCCGAAGCACGTGAAACCCACATGCTCCGCGCGCACGCGCCAGGCGCCTGTTGCCCCCCCCCCCGTCCGTTGCCACCCCCCGCTGCTCACGTAATTCTACGTGCAAGGAATTCGGCACCTGCAAATGAGGTCCCCCATGGGGCCCCGTGGGCACGTGAAGACACGTGCCCCGCGCGCACGCGCCAGGCGCATGTTGTCCCCCCCCTCTCCGCGCCCGCATGTTTCACGGGCCACGAAGTGAACATCTGCGAGTTGGGTCCCTCGCATGCGGGCCCGTCGTGGCCCGCAGCGCGTGGAAACACACACGTGCTCCACGCGCACGCGCCAGGCGCACCTTGGACCCCCCCTCCGTTGAGCCCGCCCCCGCACCCCCTCCGCGCACACAACTTTTACATGCAGACAGTCGTCACCCCCCGAATAGGCCCCCACTGGAGCCCCGTGGACACATGTGTGAGAACACGTGCCCCGCGCGCGCACGCGCCAGGGGCAGGTCAGCCCCGCCCCCCTCCACGCGCGCAGCTTTACCCGCCGAAGGGTGTGACGCGCGACACCGCTTGCGGGCCCGTCGTGGCCCGAAGCACATCAGCGACGATCAAGCACGGGGCTGACGCGAGATGGCACAGCGACCTCACGCGGCGGCTCACGCGGGCCGCCAGCGCGGCACGCTGCAGTGGAGACGAGGGCACTTACGCGCGAGCTTACGCGGGCAGCTTGCGCGCCAATGTCGGCGCAGACGACCCCGCCTCGTCGCGTCGCCCACATGGAAACACATGCTCCGCGCGGGCGCGCCAGGCGCATGTTGGCCCTCCCCCTCTGGTCGCCCCCCCTCCGCGCACGGAACTAAACCATCGCCATCCCCAAGCTGGGGCCCCGTGGACACGTGGAAACACGTGCCCCTCGCGCCCGCGCCAGGGGCATGGTGGGCCCCGCCCCTCCGCGCTCGCATTTTGTGTGCGAAAGGAGCTCGGCGCCCGCAAGTTGGGTCCCTCGCCTGCGGCCCCGCCGTGGCCCGCAGCGCGTAAGAACGCGTGCCACGGGCGCAGGCGCCAGGCGAATGGTAGGCCCCTCTTCCGTTGGGCCCTCCCCTCCGAGCATGTAATGTTACGTGTGAACAACTCGCCTGCTCCGGCCGCCTGAGGCCCCGCCTTCCTGCGCCCTGTCTCCTTAATTAGAGCTGCGCGTAGCCCGCCTAGCTTTTAGCGGAAGAGGTTCGCTCTCGCCCCGCAGACCAAAAAGTGTAAACAACTCGCCACCCCCAAATTGGGTCCCCCTGGGGCCCCGTGGACACGTGAAAACACGGGCCCCGCGCGCACGCGCCAGACGCATGCTGGGCCTCCACCGCCTCCGAGCATGCACTCTCACTGGTCGAGGAAGTCGGCACCTGCAAAGTGGGCGCCTTGCGGGCGGCCCCGTCGCGGCCCGAAGCACGTAGAAAACGGATGCCAGACCCACGCGTGCTGAGACTCCTGTTGGAGACCCCCCCTCCGCACGCAGATCTTTACGTGCGCAATTCCGACACGCCTGCTGCTCGATACCCCTCTGGTGCAGGGCCTGTGGCCAGCAAACTCCTCCTCCTCCTCCTCCTCCTCCTCCTCCTCCTCCTCCTCCTCCTCCTCGGCCGTAGCCCTCACCAGGAAACTCACGACGGGAGGTCTTTGTCCACTCTCGGGATCGAGGGGCCCTTTTACAGGGCCCCGAGAACGTCAGAAACAGCTCGGGATGAAGAGCCGGTCCTGGGGAAAAGGTCCTGATGCGGGAGTCCACGTCCGCGAGGCGGGGATGTATCCATAGCCACCGCCTGGGAACCGACGTCCTGGTGCCCCAGCGGGCGGTGGATATGGATGTATTTCGGCCCCCGAATATATGTCCATATCCACCGCCTGCCGAGGCTCCGAGAACTGACCCTCCAGGCGGTGGTCATGTATAAATTCCCGCCTCGGAACGTCGGAGGTCAAGGATTCTGCATGAGAATATTGCGTCCTGGAGGAAGGCGGTCCTGGCAAATTCTTTCGCGCCCACTGGGCCCCTCGACGGGCCCCGGACCGTCAAAGACGACTCGGAATGAAGAGCTGGTCCTGGACTTCTTCCCCTCAGGATCCCAGTCCTTCCTGGCGATCCCTGGCCATCCTTCCTCACCCCTTGCCCAGGGCGCAGAGGCTGCGAATGGGAGGTCCAGCATGCTCCTCATCTGACTACCTACCAGACCACACCAACCCAACCCGAAGACCCCAATTTCGGGTTGGGGGGGGGTACGGGTTCCATCCCCGACCCCCTCCCCCCACTGGAAATGGAGGGCAAATTGAGGCCTTCGGGTTGCGTTGGGGTGGTTTGGTGGGTGGTGATCATCGACATCCCCACGGCTAGTTCGTCTCGTGACGACCCGTGCACTAGCCTCTGGCACAGCGGGGACCGTTCAACCTCGAACGGACCCGCCTCCCGGCAGCGCGGGCCGCTCCACATCGGCCGATGCTGGGCCGCCTGCGGCGTTCCACCTTGAACGCCCGCGCCGACGTCCACGTGGCGCGGCGAACCTACAGTGACGAGGTCCGACGTCCTCCTCCTCCTCCTCCTCCTCCTGCTCCTGCTCCTCCTCCTCCTCCTCTCCTCCTCCTCCTCCTCCTCCTCCTCCTCCTCCTTTTCCCCCTCCTTTTCCTCCTCCTCCTCCTCCTCCTCCTCCTCCTCCTTTCCCTCCTCCTCCTCCTCCTCCTCCTCCTCCTCCTCCTTCTCCTCCTCCTCCCCTGGCCATCCCTCCTGACCGGCTGCCCAGGGCGCGGAGGCTGCGAGAGGGAATCCGAATCTCACGACCCCTTCGGTTTTGGGCAGCCCCAAGAGCCAGCTTCGGAGGCGGAACGATGCCTTCGGGGGTAAGCGGGGAGGGAGAGGGGCAGCGCGAGGATAGAGTTAAGTCGGACCTGTCCCCCTACAGGAGGATTTTGGGCGAAAAATAAGAAACACTCCAAAAATACCCCCACATAGCATAAAAAGTACTCAAAAAATAGGCCCCAGGCTAAATTCTGACTGTTTTTGAATTCTCCTCCTGTAGAGGGACACGCCCGACTTTAAGGATAGAGGAGGGGAAGGGAGGGGAGGGGAGGAGGAGGGAGGAGGCATGCCTTTACGGGCACGTGGTCCGACGGGTGGAGGGCGTTGGGGATCGGGTCGTCCACGGTCAGCTCCGGCGCGTCGCAGATGTCGAGGAGGTCCAAGCGCTTGCCCTGGTCCCGAGCACTCCTCCCTCCTCCCTCTCAGGAGGCGACTGCTGGGAGGTCCTCGTCGGAAGGAGCAAGGAGGAGTAAGCCCCGCTGGGGAGCTGTTACGCTGAAGTGGGCCTCGGATTAAGCGGGATCAAGCCGGATTAAGCGGGATTAAGCGGGATTGCGCCGGATTAAGCGGGATTCAGCGGGATTAAACTAGATGAAGCGGGATCAAGCCAGATCAAGCTGGATGAAGCCGGATTTCGGACCAGGGCTAAATCAGCATTTGGCCTTCCAAGAGTTGCACCCGAATCCCTCCTTCCCCCTCGTCCCCTTCGTGACAGCCATCCTGATCCATCACGCTTGCGCTCCAATCCCCTTCCTCTCGCCTCCTCCCTCCTTCTTCTCCCTCCTGCCCCGCCCTGGTCCTCCTGGCAGGAAAAAGGCAGTGTGGCGCGAGGAGATGGAGGAAGCACGATAGAGATGCTGCAAAGGAGGAGCTTGCGCAAGGACGACGGCGAGAAGGAGGAACAGGACAAGCGGGGGAGAAGGGCGGAATGGGCGGAATGGGCGGAACGGGCGGTGAGGCGGGTCAGCAGCGGCAGGCGCACGCAGCCCGAGGAGAAGATTACTAGGCCAGGGGAGGAGCAGCAGCAGCATCGGGAGAAGGCACGGGGGGTCCCAGGTCGGCCTCGAACCTTCGGACCTCCTCCGTGCTGCGCTCTCTCGGATCTGCATAGTGCTCACTCTCCCTGGGATGCCTGCCCTGTCGCAGGCGGTTCCTACGGGTCTTAGCATTATTATCTGCAAGTGTGAACGTACAGATTTCGGCCAAGCCCCGCCACGTGAGCGACGATAAACTCCCGCACTTAAAACAAAAGACAAACGGGCCCGTCTTCCAGAGTGCATGGCCTCCGAACAGGTTCCGATTGCCTGTGGTGGAGGAGGAGGTCGGAGGAGGAGGAGGAGGAGGAGGGGGGACCTGGCCTCCTGGCCTCCTACACACCGTGCGGCCCAAGCACTCCTGGAAACGGAATCTGGCGCGCTCCTTCCTCGCGGTGGCTTTGCGTCCGCTTCTGAGGCAGGAGACTGCAGGCCCTGAGAAACTAACCAGGTT